TGTTACATTATTTGGCCACGTAAACTAGTTGTATAGATAGTTCCTATAACTGTACTAGATTTTCTAAGTAATCATTGAACGGATCCCATAACTGTTTTTACCAATGGGTAGAACGTTTTACGAGGAAATATTACTGTAATAGTTGTACTCCGACGTCGGAGCTTATATTATCAGTATATATCTTTCCGGCTGACAGGGTATAATACATGCAGATATGTATTTAAGTTGAATGTTTATTCACTCTGGAGGTGTCATATTTGTTCGGTTGTCGATGGCTTTATATTTTTGTTCAGCGAAAACACCACGGAAATGAACTAATTCCCTAACACGCATTAACAGCGAACGCGGCACAATATATAATCCATGTAATGCCGATGGAATGGAACCATGACAATGACTATTCCTAGATTTTCTTGTACAAAAAATAGTATAGACTTTACTTTAGTATAGATCTCAGAAGCTTACGTATACTACCTGTCATACATGTAAATCACATCGCTACACATAAAAGAAAAAAATAAATCTTCGCTCGATACCAGTAAATCAAACCGCATAAGAACAGTGCTTGTTTTAATACACAAAACATTATATTCCAAAAACAATGGATACACGTTGAAATATATCAATAAAGCATAATTTATAGGTAATATAATTATACTGATAATAAAGATGGTAAATTTATTTCATAGACCGATGAAGACGATTCAAAATTACTAATAATACTATCGTCGTATATAAAATATACGTATATATAATATTATATATATAATTATCCTTTATACCCTAATAGTCAACATTTCCAAGATCACGAAAATATTCTATACAACAAATACAGTGTATAAAATATATCACAAAAAAACATTGATTCGACTTTTTAAGTATAATAATTTGTTGTTGATACTCCAAAAATATAAAATCCATTTAAAAATGTCAACCATTTAAATTTGAAAAATATTTTTTGTACAAAACTATTAAATCAATGTGATTATTTAAATTATAATGTTCAATATATAGTTTTTTTTTTTATATTTATAATAAGTATACTTATCCTATATATAGTATACCCATATATAGGTATACCTAAAATATTTTCAAAATTTGACGTTAGACAATTAACATTACTTTTTCCTATTAAATTTAATTCTGCTTACAAACTCGATTTATGTTCTACGCACCTATCAAATTATAAAACTTTTACGTGTAAATAAAAAAGACAATTATTATTTAAAATTATTTTGAATTTCCTATTTGCATTTAATGAATGTTCAATTTTACTATAGTATTATATAAATTGGTAGTACTTAATTTATCTTAAAAAAAGTTATCATAATTTAAAATGTAATTTTCGTATTTAACAATAATTAATATAGCACTGAAACCCCTTATAACTAGATTTTTTTTTTTCATTATATCTTAAAAATATAAAATAAGTATAGAATTTATATTCGGAACTTAAACTATTTTGTTAAAAAGGAATGAATTTTGAATTTATTACTTATTATAATTTTGTACAATTTATGGTTTGTTTTCAAACGTATTCAATATGATAATATAAATATGCAAATTATTAGGTTAACTTATAATTTTAAAGATTTTTTTTTCTTAGTAATACATATTTTAAAATCTAATTATGATTATAAATAATGAATAACAGCATTTGCAATTAACCATATGGAATTTTTTATTTAAACTTTAAATTTTTACCACTATATGAAATAATTCGATAATTAGATCATCGTTCCAGTTAAACGATTTTCTAACGCCTTGGCGAAGGAATTATCCGTAAATTCTTGTTTCATTTCAACTTTGATATTAATTAAAATCAGATTGAGTCAACATATTTTATGTATTTACTTTGGAATATTGTTGATGTGTCCATAATGAAGGATGTTTCGATAAATTGTTGAACATCAATAATTAAATGCCATTCCCGATTAAAGGTTCGATATAAAACTATGTACAATTTATTTTCATTGCGTTCTGTACACTTTTTGTACTTATAGTACGTATTTAATTTATGAAAACTTATATTATATAACGTTGGCTACTTTAAGGTTATCTTATGCTTTTAATCATTAATTTGAGATCGAATAATTGTATTTATTGATCATTTAAACAAAGTCGATCATTCGGCCTAATACGTTTCTATGCCATAACCAACGCATGTAAAATAAATAATTATAATGTTCACATCGAAACATAAATAACAATACTAAATCCCTCATGACTATAAATATGTGATATTTACGAGTTTTTATCAGCGCACCACATTATAAAGAATATACTCCTAGTGGTTTTTCGTTACTCGTAAACGGATTATATTTTCGATTTCCGAACGAATTTGTAAATGGCGATTGTTTCAGTGTAAAACTTAACATGCACAAAGCACGTTTTTGTGTATATTGATACAATATTGTAATTGTTTTTTTTTTTTTTTTTTTTTTTTTTGGTATTCGTATAAACTCTCGTATTTGGTTTTTGTATTTTCAAAGGAAACCACGTCTACCTGATAATGCGTTAATATGGACTCATGTGCTCGTCCTTAGCCTTTATGTATTGAGCCCCTGCGGTTAATATTATTTGCGCTTCCGCGTTACTAACCGAGCATTGTTCTCTATATTTATGTGTACAAATTAACCTTTTATATCCTAACACGTATTGTTTTCCGTGCATATTTACGTGCACAAATTAACTTTTCATATCCAACACGGTAGGTACATGATCAGAGAGAAGACTTCCGAAGATATAAAATTCGTGTGCTCAACAAACGCTAGTTTAAAATCCACGAGCATATACCGTGTACGACAATGCGGTTTAATTATACTTATCATCGGATTTCATCCAGAGCTTCCAGTGTTCCCTATATGTATATGCACGTCTATCGAATCTATTAGAGATAAAATATTATGTTATGGGGCATATATCGGAGGTAATATTCGGAATTAAAAACCATCAGTGATAATCCATTTACAATAATAACTTTATATATATATATATAAATAAAGAATGATATAAGACTGAGAGCTTGATCGAGATATGTATATCGTTTTTTACGAGTGAGAAAGAGTGAGTGAGAAAGAATATGCTACAGACCCGAGACCACAATGCAAGAAAAAAAAAAACCTAGAGACTATTTATTGTAATGATATTGTTTTCTGGGCGTGACGACCAGTAGTGTTATCCTGCCCGTGCGGAGGCGGTAGCATCGCTCCCAAAAAGAATAACGATTCGTTTTCGAGGCGGGTATAATGTAGATATAGTGGTCGTGGTGGTACCCTACCGTAGTACATGTATACCAGTACTGCACCGGTGCGAAAAATGTATAAAAAATCACACTCTCGGTGTACGGTGCTGGTGGGGTAAGGGGGTGAATGTCGTCGCATGGGAATGATATTATATACATATAAATCTTGTGGTTGCGGTGGTGGTGCGTATTATTCGGATTCGTCGCAGGATGAGGAAAAGGATGGCGGTGGCGGCGGTGATCGGGAGTGCGGGAAAAAAAAATAAAAATAAATAGTGGTGGCGGTCGTAATATAAATAGCGTACTCGACCGATTGGATATTATTCATTTTTTACCCTCCTATTGCTCTTTTCCCTCTACGCTTCGTATTATTGCAACTGCTGGTGGTGGTTCGCGGTGTACATGTCGCGCGACGCACAAAAGACTGACGGTGATGTATAACGTCACGCGCGCTAAAGACGTTTCCCGGTCTCGTTCTCTCACTCTCCTCTCCGCTCTATTATTGCTCCTTCACTCCTATTCGCGCTCTGCGTTTGATCGATTTGACAATTGATTTTCGATGAACTTCTCTTCGCCCTCTCTCTGCCATTCCCACCCAGGGCCGTTTTTTGGGAGCGCGATAATGTCTTTTTATTTTCACGCCAAAAAACCCGTCTGATACGATCATCGAGGTCGTGAATCCAACCCTTTTTTTTGGAAACGGAAAATACACCTATGCGCTACTTTTGTGTGAAACGCGCATTAGATATGAGGACGAAATATTTTCGTCAGAAGCATTAACTACTGGCGTATCTCAGATAATATTTATGATAAATATAAACAACTATTTGGGTCCGATTATAAAAACGATAGTATATGAGTTCGATATATTGATACACTTGATAATGTCAAAAAATTAATAGTTTTGAGCTTTTAAAAGCTCTATCATTTAAGTTTTTTTTTTCTAATTGTATACATTTTTTCATTTTTTAATCATTTAATTTGTTTATTTACCATATACCAGTATTCTAATTTTCAATCAATAATTATATACCATATATTAGAAATTTTTTTTTAAAAAAAATAGATGACTGACAGTCCCTAGCCTATTAAAATGAGAAGAAAATTGTTTTTTTTTTTTTTTATATGTACACAAATAGAAGTAGTACTTGTAAAATCGTGAGACCCAACTAATGTTCTACCGGAAAAATACTGGGACTCAATTAGTGTTTTACCTGAAAAACACTAGGACTTAACTAGATTAAATAAGGGTCTTCGTGACCCAACTAGTAAACGCCGTCAACTACACCTCGTCACGGAGTATTATCTTTGTATAATTTTTTTGGCAATTTTTTACTGTACACCTCTTCGTAACGATTATGATAATTATCCCGCATATTACTACGACTCTCGAAAGCATAAACACGGTCGTAAAATAACCTATTTTTTTTGCCCATAATTAATTCCCTTTGTTTTATTATTTAACTATTCATTTTTCTTTTTTTTTTTTTACCACTATTGTTCTGTTCTCGATTAATAGCTTCACCGTAAAGTTTGGGGTTTGCAGTTCCCGCAATATTATCACCACCACCCCCGTATAATATATTACTCGCTCAACGGAATTTGGTCATATTTATATGCATATACACGCGTTCGATAAAAAAAAAAAAAAAAAAAAAAAAACCACTGTCTCGTACACGGCAAAACAATATTCTATACGCGTCTATTACATTTTTTCTGTTTTCCTCTAATGTATTTTTTTATTGGACATTTGCAGACGGACACGATGGAAGTGTGTTCCAGCGCGTCATTGCTGGGTGAACAGCTTACTCTCGTCGAGCTCGAGAGACTGTCGTTCATTGGGCCCGAGGAATTCGTGCAAGCATTCGCAAAGGATAGTCCTCACATAGATTCGTCTTTCAAGGACATGAAGAAAACCAGAAATCTCGAATCATACGTCCACTGGTTCAACCGACTCAGTTATTTAGTGGCGTCGGAAATATGCAAAGTACGTATCATTATTTATTTATATAAATGAGCCGTGCGTAATACGTCATGTGGCCCTTCGCGAAGTGCATATCACGTCGTGTGCAGGTCTCTCGGCGTGTAAGCAAACTACGGCAAAGTGCACGTTATCATTTTTGCACATTTTCAGCATTCGAAAAAAAAGCAACGAGTTAAAACAATCGAGTTCTGGATCGAGACTGCGAGAGAATGTTTCAACGTGGGCAATTTCAACTCTTTGATGGCCATCATCGCCGGACTCAACATGTCACCGATTAGCAGACTAAAGAAAACGGTAAACGCTCGCTAAAAATAATATTCCAACGTATAATGAGACCTTATTCCTTGTTCAATTTTTGAAATATAAAAAATCGCTTCGATTGGAACCTAGAAGACTTAAATAAAAAGCAAAATTGGTTTTCTAAGTTAAAATTGACCAATCTAGAGCTTTACAACTTTGTCTGGCATTTGGGTTGTTTTACATGTTTTTGTCGACCCACTTCAGCCACCTTAATAATTGTTATTACCTGTTTTTATTCAAACTAGAAATTTAGAATAAAATTTTATTTTTTATTTACAAAATATTCAGTTTTTCCATAATCTTATTTTATATTCATCTTTTTGATTTATTTTTACTTATCTCTGACCACAGTTTTGAAACCTCAGGTATATACTGTTCAGATAATTACATCAACTCGTTAATTAATTTAATTTCTCTCTCATTTTTCCTCTTGTGAACAGTGGCATAAAGTGCAACAGTCGGCCAAGTTTACCATTCTGGAACAGTACATGGATCCGTCGTCAAATTTCAGTAGCTATCGATCAACGCTGAAAGCGGCTTTATGGAGAAGCGCCGGTGCTACCGATCAACGTCAAAGGGTAGTCATACCGTTCTTTTCGTTACTGGTCAAAGACATTTACTTTTTAAATGAAGGTTGCCGAAATAGGTAATGAAATACAATTGAATATTAATATATAACGAAATTAAAAAGATTATATAATATTAGTTGGCACTATTCTAACTTTAAAAAAATATATGATTATTATGAACGATTTACTGAAAAAAATATAGCATGTGATACGATATATGATACGTATTTATGATACGATGATCATAATATCGATTGATTAATAGCAAAAAGAGCTAAGCGGCATTTCGGGGCTCAATGACATGTTGTACACTACGGGACAATCGATAATTAAAGTATTCGATCGCACAAGCTATATTAGTATTCTTAATGATTTATAATTAAGTATTGTTTTGACCGTTTAGTAATGAGGTATTTTATTTATAAATTTGGGTGCAAGCGATATTTACGAACAGAAATGTTATAAATGAAAGGACTAAATATATTTTATAGAGTATAAGTGAGACTAATGAAAATACTGTTCATCAAGCGACAAAACGCATAGCGCATTGGTTCTTACTTTCAGCGTTTATCACCTATTATAATATTGATAATATGAAATATATTTCCTATAATAATCATCGTTATATATAATTATAATTTTAATTTTGCCTCAATAAGATATATATTATTCATAAGAATAATGACATTCGGTCAATTACATTTTATGAATAGTTAAATATTTCGACTAATAGACAATTTGACAGATATTTGAATTTGTAAAACATATGTTTTTTTTTACTGTAATGTGCGAACAAAGGCAAATTAAAAAGAAAAAAATATATATGTAAATATTTTATTATATATATACGGCATTGAATGTATTTTATATTAGTAGCACTTGACAAACACAATTTTTGTTAGTTTCGATTGTACCATTATTTATTTATTTCATTGCTAAATGATTAGGAGAACAATAACACTTGTCTGATCGAATGTTCTGTTAATTTTCGCAACAACCGTACTTCATTCGTGTAGTATATAATATTATTATTATTATTATTATTATTATTATGTTGCCTCATTTTGCCTTTTACCTGTCGATAGGTTAGAATGCATTGGCTCATCTTGTTTGGTTTATTGGTTGACATTCACTTTTGTATTATTCTTTCTAACGTATACAAATAACTATATGGCGGGTGTTGCCTATCTGAATTTAGAAAAATCAAAAAAAAATTATTTCATTACTTCGACTAATTATTACATAATATCCAAAATTCAAACAATGAAAAATAATCAATAAACATACCCGGCTAACGTTCAGCATAAACATGTACAGCGTAGAATGAATTTTTTTTTACATTCCTGGTAAATGAAAAGCATATAAACTTTTTCTGAATTATTCATAATTTTTTCAAACTAAAAACTATCTTATGTATGAACTTATGAGATTTATTTTAAAATAATTGACGCAGGCAAATTCGCAATGATGTCACTGCGAAACAAATGCAACGAAACTGGTTATTTCACTAGCCTATTTCAAATTAAGGCATTCAATTTAACGTATTTAAATCAGATAACCATAGTAGTGAAATAGTTGAAAAACTTGTACCTATAATTTATTAATTTAAAATATCCAAAAATGAAAATGAAATTGATATTTTTGAATATTATTGTTTATAAATTTAATGAAATTTGTGATTATCCAAATGTATCAATAAAACTATTTCAACCAATATCAAACATTTAAATATCGATAACTCTGCTAATTTTTGATGTAGGAAGTTGGTTTGGCTATTCAAATACATAAAAAATTTGGGTTACAAAAATTATCGGAAAAAAGGGGGATTTAGCATTTAAAAAAAACTCGTGGGCATACGCAAAATTAAATGTCATACAATTAGTTTAATAAGCTTAATAAGTATGTAATAAAGTTTGTTAGGTATCAAAATAAAAAAATAATTCAAATTTATGTAATACGTGTAGAGTTGTACTGTATTTCCAACTATCGATAACATACTGTATACGAGTTTATTCTCGCTCTCTTAAAACCGTTCTATATATATATATATATATATATATATATATATATATATATATGGGAACTTAATATTTTAGTTATTTTGTATTTATTTATTATTTCAGTAGTTAAATAAAACAAACTGAAATAAGCAATATTATGTACACATATTAGTATGTTTGAGTTCATTTAAGTTTTGGCATTTATTATCTCCATGTATATTAATTGATTATGAATATAAAATTTATGTTTGCTCGGTAGGTAGGTTTTGAAATTATTATTTCAAAGACCAAACGCTAGTATATAGTATTTTCTTTTTGGCATCTTTGAAATTCATATAAAAACGAAATATATTGAAAAAACATGGGTTTTAATTTTAAGTTCAAGTTTTCATATTAACTATTATTTTTAAGGTTAACGCCATAAATAATATCTTATCATACCGTTACCTAAAAACCATAAACCGTATAATTAAAATCTGCATTATAAAACTACATAAAATCTAAATAAAAAAACATTTACTGTGCTTGAAAAATAAAAAAAAAAACGATTTAAAAATGAAATAGACCTTATACTCTGTACCATCAATAATAATAGTATGTATAAATAATATATATAAATATTCAACTTGATTGCAAATGAGACTAGTGTACAATAGGTGCTTATATGGGGGAGGGGGTATTAACCTTCTTCGAAATGATTAAGACTTAAATAATGAGCAACTATGTGATGTATACCATATGGGGTATACGGTATACACCTCAAATAGATTTGTGGTTACTACAACACGAACAACACGATCTTTGGTGTTAGGGAGGGACAGAGTTATCAAAAAGCTCTTTCCGATTGCCGCTGTGTGTCTCAGTGTTCAAAACGAATTACGTTTTCTTTTCCAGACTCGACAACGGCCACATCAATTTCGAGAAGTTCTGGCAGTTGGCCAAACAGGTAACCGAATTCATTTCATGGAAACAAGCGGCTTGTCCGTACGAAAAAAACTCCAATCTCGTATTGTTTCTACTCACTACACCGGTGCTCAACGAGAAAGGTTAATTTTGATTGACATTTTTTTTATTTTTATATTTTTTTATTTATTTAATCAAAGCATTACCTCTTTTTAATTTCGTTAATATTAAACCATTTCCATTTATTTTTTTTATAATTTTCAGCGCTCACGTTACTGTCGTTTGAACGAGAACCGCCGGACAACAGCGTGGAAAAAGAACACTACAAAACTCTCAAGTACGCTCAAATTATTATTATTATTATTATTATTATTATTATTGTTATTTGCTCTTGCGTTTAGTATAGGGTGATCAAACGTCCCATTTAAAATGGGACTATCTTTTTTTGATCAAGTCCCGTTGTCCCCAATAACTTCGAGTGGGACGCTTTTTATCCCGTTATTTCCTTATTATTTATTATATAATATATTAATGCTTATAAATAAAATATCTAAATATGTTTAATTATAGAAAACCGATCAAAATTTTAAACCGATCAAAAATGTTCGTTGAACTCAATTATTAGATATTCCTGCTTGGGTAGACGTTCAAAAGAGGATTTAATATCCATTTAAAAATAAAAAAACTTAACCAGGATTGTAATGTGAATGAAGTTAAGTTATTTGATGAACATAATCATGTTATTCATGTGATATTAGTTGAAATTGAGGAATGAAAAAATTTTCAAAAAATATCACAGAAAAATGGTGTGATGTATTTAAAACACTAGAAAAAAAAATGATATTTCTTTTAACAATCTCTCTACAATTATTGAATACTTATTGGTTATTCTCAGAAAAAATACATCTGTAGAAAGAATTTTTTCAATAAAAAATGAATTGTAGACTGATGAAAAAAACAGTTATAATCTGGAAACCCTTAGATCAATAGTAATTACAAAACAACACTTTAAAAAATTAACTTGTTCTCAATTTTATGAATTTCTTTTGAAATATCCAAAATTGTTAAATTCAATAGTTCTTCCGAAAAGTACGATAAAGCAGTGGAAAGTGTAAAATAAGGATTACAAATTTCATAAATAATAGAGATATTTGATGTATAATTTTCCTTGTTAAAAAAATGTAGAAGTAACTATATATAACCAGTGGCGCACACCTCATGGATCAAGGGGGTAGGTTGACCCCCCGAAAAATTATGCGATTAAAAATACTTGCAATTTTCTAGATTTTATTTCAATTTTGAACTTGTGAAACTCGATTAGACCTAGGCTTATCACTTAAGTGCTAAGTTTCACTACCTCAAGCTCCAAAATTACCTCCATGGAAGTTGCTTTGATAATGTTTTTGGGTAATGGGTGGATAGTCGGTATTAATATAATATGTTCGACCTATGTCGGTAAGAATGAGTGTACGCTACTGTATGTAACAATACATTGTTTAATATTTTAATTTAATATTAAAAATTAAATTTTTCTAATTGTTTAAAAATTATAATCGTTTTGAATTGCTAAATTGTGTTTTTTGATGAATAATTAAGAGAAAATATTATTTATTAATAATTAAATGAAAATATTTTATTATTTAGGTTATTTTAATAAAAAAGAATAAATTAAAAAAAAAATAAATAATTGTTTATGATATGACTGAGATTTGGACTTTAACTCTCGAAATTTGTGTGAATATGTGTGAATGTACATGAATGAGGGATTTTTTTTTTTTAGAGGAGGGAAGTAACAGCTGTCCCGTTTATTTATTTTCTTAATATGGTCACCCTAGTTTAGTATTCCGCCATCCGCGCCCCGTCAAATCAAATCATAATTGCACGCCCTTATACAAACTACCCTCTGTTGCTGCGTCCTTCTGTCTAGTACATAAATTCATTTAAAACCAACAGCTATTATTAGTTACCGGTTCTTTTTTACACTCGTATTTTCGCGCAATGATATCGATCGAAGAGCACGCGAAAAAATGACAACGAAAAAACAACGTTTTAAATAATGTATTGCTGCTTTCTTTTTCTTTATTTTCTGTTGAACGTGACGTCCATTACCCTGTCCCCCATCCAGAAATGTATGATTTTTTTCATGCTTATAATTAGTACGTAATTTGTATGAATTAATATCTATATTTTTAAAATTTTTACGGAGCTCGTTCACCGAGAAAAATTCGTTTTTTGCAAGAGGAGCAGGAATAACGTTATTCCAAGCACTCCCACCACCATTGAAAATACACGTTTTACATACATTTATTTTGCGAATAATTAATACATAATTTGTATGAATTTGAACGACCATTTTGCCGCTTTTATCGATTAACAAAGTGTTATATTAACAAAGTATAAAATATTTTTAGAAGCATTCTGTACGCTTAAAATCACTTATTTCATTATATTCATAATTTTATTATTAGTATTTATACAAAGGCATACTACAAACATACTATTTTTATTTTAAACATCTATATGTTAGATAACAATGGCATAAGATAAAAATAGTAATTATTAGGTAAAAAAATTCACGAAATAAAGTGAATTACTCACAGTGACTTATTAGTAAAATAGTAAACTTACGGTCTAAAAGACCATGATGCGAATCATGGCGGGTTAAGAATGCAGACAAACAGATATAAATCTATTTTTATATATAAAGATATATATATATATATTATAATAATATATGTATTGAGCGTGACGCGAAAAGGTGGCGTTCGAAAATGTTCCTTGCCCGAATGAAAATGTCTGAACGCCATTTTCTCATGAACAAGTCAGAAAATATCAAACACAAAATATTTAACAAATTGATACTACTTAATACAAAAACGTATATGATGGTGGTGATTCATTATGTAAAATAAAATAAAATTTATTGTTTTTAGTATTAACATACTTATTCACATTGGAGAAAAAAAATACTCATAATAAATTAGCAAATAAGTTAATTGTTCAGTATTTTTTTTTTTTAAGTATATAGAATGTAAAAAGGTATTTTTTTACTATAGATCTAATATGATCTATAATCTAAATCTTAATATCTGTAACTTTTTAATATCAATATGCCTTCTTTTTCCTACATTTTTCTCATACAAATACTTAAATTTTATAATAAACTATTAGATCCAAGTTCTTATTTTGTTTTCGTAAAAAGTCGGTAAGATAATTTAAGTTTGACCAAAAATCGTGAAAATATAATAAAATTTCCTTGTGTGTACATAAATTAAATACGAATGGCATAAATTTGAATACAATTTTCTTCATAATTTATTTTAAAAATAAAAGGAAAAATTTTTGAATTTCACTAAAACATTTCGTAAGCATAAGAAGTTTTAATTCTGAAAATATCGAGTATTTTGACTACCGAAAATTATTTTAAAAATTTTACTATATTAAATATTTTTTTATAAACCAAGTAAACGAATAAATTGTATGTATAATATGTAGTTATACTTACTTTTTTTACTGTCATTTAAATCTATAACTCGATCTTTGAAATACATTACTGCGTTAATATCCTGGACGAATCGACTGCAGGTTTTCTTCCAGACATTTTTAACAATAAAGGTAATAAATCATTAAAATATTTAATAAAATTATATTTTTATTTCAAAATAATGTCCCAAAAAATAAATCCAAATTAAATATTTTATACAAACACTGCACTCACAGTTCATATGGTAAACATAACACTGAAGAGCTGAATGACTAAAATGAAATGTTATTTGTATAATATACGAGTATATTATAAATACGAGTAAAATACATATTATCGGATATTTCTTAAAAAAATGAAAATAATTACTATTTTTATCTTATGCCATTATTTTCTAACATATAGATATTTAAAATAGAAATAGGATGTTTGCAGTATGCCTTTGTATAAATACCAATAATAAAAAAATGAAAATAATGAAATAAGTGATTTTAAGCATACAGAATTCTTCTAAAAATATTTTATATTTTGTTATTATAACACTTTGTTAATCGATAAAAGCGGCAAAATGGTCGTTCAAATTCATACAAATTATGTATTAATTATTCGCAAAATAAATGTATGTAAAACGTGTATTTTCAATGGTGGTGGGAGTGCTTGGAATAACGTTATTCCTGCTTCTCTTGCGAAAAACGAATTTTTCTCGGTGAACAAGCTCTGTACAAATTCTGAAAATAGTCATACAAATTCTTACAAATTACGTTCTAATTATTCTCAAAATAAACTTTTGTAAAACGTGTATTTTTACTGATAGGAAGGGCTAGAATAACGTTATTCCAGCCCGTCCCACGAAAAACAAATTTTTCTCAGTGAACAAACTCCGTTCAAGTTCTAAAAATAGTCGTACGAATGCATACAAATTACGTACTAGTTAATCGCAAAATAAATGTTTGTAAAACATGTATTTTTACTTGTGAGAGAAGGGTTGGAATAACGTTATTCCAGCCCCTCCCGCAAAAAACGAATTTTTTCGGTAAACGAGCTCCGTACAAATTCTGAAAATTGTCGTACAAATTCATACAAATTACAGACTATTTATAAGCATGAAAAAAATCATACATTTCTGGATGGGGAGGGCAAGGTAATGGACGTTTGAACGTGCATAACAGTCGTCTTAATTAAGACGTCTAAAATTAATAATAAATGAAAATAAAAATAAAATTTCGTTTTTATTATTCACTAATCCCGTTAAGTGTAATGTAAACAACAAAAATCAGTTTACAGTAAAAATATATTTTTGACATAAGAACACGCAATGAAAATAATACTGTTGTCACATTATATCAAGAAAACGATGTTTTAGTCGGTCATGATTTCATTAAAAATGATTTCTGCTTTCACGGCAGTTCGTTTCGAATCCTTAAAAACTGAAAAACTATACTTGCTCACTTATAATAACATTTATACCTTTCTAAATGCTTAAATTACATCCAAATTTTATTAAGTTTTGTCTGATTGTCTAGCGCTTTTAATCATTGCCAATGTGCTTATAGAATTATAATAAATCCATTCGTAATCTTTATACGGTGAATACCTAAAAGTCCATAACTTGCTGCCAATAAATATTGCATTTACAAACACATATGTGTGTATCTTTTTCGGGTAAACTTTAGTTTGTGTTTTCATTACTCTAAAGTTACGTACATTTATTATTTACTTCTCATTCTAGCGTTATTAAACTTCGTGTAGAATTTTGGAGCGATTTTTTTTTTTAACTTAAACTTTTTTTAAACGTATAACAAGCATTTTGCTGGAGTTTATAACGTTAAAAAAAATTTAAAAATGAAGAAATGGGAAGCTATAGATATTTAATGAATTATTAATGATTTTTTTTTTATTTTTATTTAATTTTGTTTCAGGACTGCATCATAAAATGCTGTATTTTCAATTTATTATTGAGTACACTTCTGGACTTTATTTTCGACTTCTTCTAAAGTCTGTTTAATTTATTTTTATTTTGTCAAAGCACAAAACGGTGTAAATGTTTTCTTTTTTTTTTTTATATTAGCATCAATGTTTATCATTTCATTATTATTGCACTAAATGCTTCCAATATTAGTGTTGCGTTTTTAAACAATGTAAAGTAATGTGTATTTTTACGAAAATAAGTAAAATGTCAAGAGAAAAATAACTCTTGAAAGATGTAATAGGTTGTATTTTTATATAATGTACTTAATCCGATTATATTATCAATTGTATTATCATTGTTCGTATAATTTTCCATTTCACATTAAGTTGTTTAAATATTGTCAGTATTATTTTCAAACAGACTAACAAGTTCCTCCTAATCATCTTAATTTTATTATTACTATTATTATTATTATTATTATTATTATTGTATAATTTTTTTTTTTTTTTTTGTATAGTACAAACCAACGTTTTATGAATATTTGTATAAATATTGACAATGAATAAAAAAAAATCATAATGGAAAGAAAGTTCATATCTTCTTATGTGAAGTGTTTTAGTCATTCATTCTTCTCATACCCTAATACTTAAATACGTCCCGGAGCTAGTAAAAAAAAACTTGTGTTATTGCGTCGGAGATAAAAAAAAAAAACCGTATTATACTTCTTAGGAAAAAATCAAGCTGTACAGAAATCTACGATATCTTTTACGAAGAATGCCTCTTTTAAAGCACATCTTATTGTACGGGTCGAACGTGCGGCGGATATATATATCAACGGATAATCCATGTATCGTCGATGGATCGGTAATCGTCGCGCCCAATAATACGATACGACTCGCGCATGATATTATTGTATACAATTATAACATACGGGTACGTACTATGCAGAACTTCTGTACTGGTCCGATCGGACGTGCGTCTCTTTCATACCTACAGCAGAATCCTTTTGAGTGGCAGACGGTGATATTAATGTGTGTTCGGTGCGAGTGTTTGTCTGGATCGTGTTCAAGTCCTCACTTGCCCGTCGACGGTTTTCAGTACAGTAATAGTGGATCTTATGGGATCGATTATTAGTCAGTGTAGTGCACACGAAGACCCGAAGAGAAGTAATGAGGAACCGCGTTGGGATCAGAGGCGATGGAATACGAAGCGGGAAAAAGAAAAGAAACTGTCGGAGGTGGTCGAGTGTATTGAGGATGGTCGTGGCACGAGAAGTGGAAGATACTATGAGGGGATGGTGAGAAGCTGTGGACGAGAGCGGCGCAGAGTGAACGAACTAAAATTTGTGGCATTATGTAATACTCTAGGCGTGTATTTTTTTTTTTTTTTTTTTTTTAATCGGACATCGATTATTCTTTGTACGTCGATGTACAAAAAAAAAAATTAATTAGTCTCCCGTAGATTTCATTTGCAACGCTTTTTTCTCGACTTTCTAGACAGTTACGACGACCCTCAAGCAGTCGCGTGGAGGTGTATAGAGATAGTAACCCCTTTCGAAGGGTATATTTGCCTACGCACGTACGCACTCGTAATTACGAGCAGAAAAGAGAGAAAAACAAATTCGAGAATATTTGCGAACAACGAGTGGAGTAGGCCTGGCGTTGTTATTACAACGAATTATTGTGTTGTAATTATTGTCATTACCACGTTGTCCGGCGCTCGAACACTCGACCGTACGCGGTCCTCGCGCACTAGAACGTGAATTAATTACGCGGCGCGGATCGTGCGCTCGCACAAAGGATACCGAGAAACACGCGTTGTCGAGTATGTCAGCGCTATGCGGTTCTGGCGGCACCGGACAGCGGTGCACGTCTGTTTAACCTCGCGTGGCTTTATTACTACGGGTTCGATGTGTTCCGTGCTTTCGCGAGTGGAGGGGCCGTTTTCCTCCGGGGGTGAGAAAATAAAAAAATTAAATTAAAATTCCTTTTCGATCCACGAACAGGGACGTACCCAGGGGGGGTCTGGACCCCCATTGAAATTTCTACATACTCAATAGTTTAACAGTAAACAGTATAATAATAGTATATATAGTGTATTTTGATTTCCCATTATCTTCGATGTACAAAGTTTATAGATTATATAATATACCTATAATGCATAATAAACCATACCATAGTTATTTACGGTCATTTGTTGGTATTGAATTAAACTATAATCACTGTTAGAGAACAGATAAAATAAAAATGTTGGACCTCCATCCATAAAAAAAATTCCTGTGTACGTCCTTGTCAACGAACAAAAAACATGATTTTCCTCTGAATACATATATTTTTCAACGGCCGTTCGTCTGCGGACTAACTTGTTTTGATGGTAAAACTACGAACGATACGGGTCGTTACTGTGTGTCAATAGTACGGTACGAATATTTTGATCCGCGACTTGCGCTCTCTCGGGCCGCTGAGAGGTGTTACGTTGTTGTATTAGCAATTAGAAATTCGTATCGGTGTTGGCTAAGATAGGCGATTAAGCGTTGGCGAGACGTAAAGCAATCGATGCATAAAAAAAAAAAAAAGAAACAACTATGTAGGTAATTATTGAAAAATATAACTAAAAAAAAATAATGAGTATATATTTTTGTTTTACAGGATAGGTTAGGTTAGGTACGCATTTATCGAAAAAATTGCATAAAACCATAATATATAAAATGTATAATATATAATATATAAACTTACTTTATTATAATAATTAAATTTATCAATTTTTTTTTGTTAATAATTATTTGAACAATGTGCTGTCTTTTTTTAAATTATTAGTTTATAAAAATCAAATATAATAATAATAAATAAAAATTGCTTTTTTTTAACATCAAAACTTCTTTCAAGAAACCCGAAGATAAAGCTATACATCGCCTATTTACGCTCTATTGTCATGTACGGATGTGAAACATGGTCCATGACGCAGGGCGATGAGAACAAACTATTGACTTTCAAAAAGAAAGTACTTAGAAAAATCTATGGGCCTGTGTTAAATCCAATTACTGGTTTATACGAGCGGAGAAAAATGCAGACTTAAGCAGACTGTATAATACTCTAAATATACAAGATTTTTTAAAATCAAAAAGACTTGAATGGGCTGGCCATCATATCGCCATGTATGGCGTGCAGAGGGAAGATTGATCAGACAAGCTCGCATTAACAAGCCAAATAAAAAACAACCAGTGGGAAGGCCGCGTCAACGATGGATGGATCGAGTAAGAGATGACTTAAAAAGATTGAGAATTGGAGCGAGTATTGAGGATACAGAAAAACAAGAACTTTGGAAAACTTTGGTGGAAGCTGCGAAGCGCCTAAATGGCGCGTGAAACAATTAAAAATTGCTTTTTTTTTATGAAAATTAAATATTATAAGTAGGTACTCGTGTGTGTTCATAAATTATTAGTTCAAAAATAGTATTTTATTTGAAAACTAATAGAAACTAATAGAAAACTAAAGGGTTTGGAAAAAATAACGCAGGATTTAAATCTGCTATAAATTAAATTTATTTCTTTAAAAAAAAAAAAAAACATAACAAATATATGTTTTCAGGAGAAATTAAGGTTTATCAGTGAAAAGTGGGCATATGGCCTTCCCTACTAGCCTCGTCACACTCCCAGTTTGAACTTCGCAGAACGAAATATCGTTTTCGTCGTTAAAAAAGAAAAATAATTATCTCTGTAGTACTTTGGGTCGTTTCTGTATTATATTTTATTTTACGGAGACCCCGTAATAATTATTAAATGTGATCGATTCGTAATGGTTCTCCGTTGAAAAGACTTGACATGATCGGAAGGTCATGCTACCGGAAGCAATCAAGTGTTGGACGGATTGCAAAAAAAAAAAACAGAAAATGACTTCCTTGAGGTCTGATATACGATTATTTTGTGCGCTCCTGAGTGCGGTTTTGGAACGAGGGCGGTGTGTCGTGAAGTCGTGTGACCGTCGCCGCCCCGCTAAGCTCGTCCGTTGTAAGAATATCGGATCGGCCGGAAGAAAAACACTGAACCGTGCGCAGGGCCGCACGATACCATTAACCCGGTGTCGACCACCCTCGCCCCACGTGTTAAAACATTAACGTCGTAAACAACAAGTGCATGCGCGTTGTTCGAAAGATCGTCCACCGCGTGTCGAATCGCGGAGCGTTACTGTGTGTTGTACAAATTACGACGTTATAGCGCATGGACGGCGAACCTTTTTCGGTACGAGTGCCAAATTATTCCAATTAAGGATTTGAAAATCGTTCGTGTGCCCGAAGAAAATTATATTTCCTAAGAATAAAAATAAAATCACAGATTTTTTTTTTTTTTTTGATTTTTAATGATTCTTTAGTGAAACACAAACAGCAATCGTTTCATTGAATTGGTCAAAACATTTATTTCCTTCGATTTGATTTAATTCGTCATGGTTTTCATAACCATAAGTTGACAAGGTATACGAAAGCATAAGGAATAACAACAATCGTTACATTGTCATTTTTAAAATATGTATAATTTTATTTTTATTTTTTATTTACAATTTTTAATAATTTCAATTTTTTGCTCGCGCCATTAAAATTTGGTCAACGTGTCATAAGTTCGCCAGCCCTGTTACAGCGTTCCGATGCACGTGTACTATATTCCATTCTGTTAGCTCTCGTCGAGACAGCGCGAGCATGAGAGCGTAGTCGACTCCACTCGTGTCATTTCGTGCGCGCTCTGTTCGTTGTCGGTTTTCTTGGTCGCAAGTCAGAGGCCACGAGGCTCGTTCAACCTCATGCAAGCTCGTGAGAGTGTAAAGCTAACATTATATTTGCTGTTTACGAATCTGTGACAGGACGCCCCGGACGACTGGATTTTCAGTGTTCGACCGGATCGACGGAGGAAAGCATTGATATACCTGTTATAATATCATGCGTGTGATAAGGTTCGCAAGTCGTTGGCTATACGATTTAAAACCGTTTTGACGATTCATCCATCGGGCTGAATCCGAAATTAAATTCCTCAGGACTGCGAGACTTCGTACCATGATCGCCTACTAAAAAAAAAAACATCCCTTCCAAGGCTCCGACACCTATGCGCTTATACGATAAACTAAATCCGCGAGGGACGCGCAACACGCTCGATGTTTTCATTTCATAGTCCCTAGTCCTCGAGCATGTGATACGGTAGTCGGGTGCTGCTTTCTATCCTGCCCGTCGCTCGTATTCGTTAAACTGTCGCGTCTCGTTTTTGCGTAAAAGTTCCTCCGAAACGAAAACTTTGGAACGTGCGGCCGGTCTAATAGTCACAGGACCGTTTCGATTATATCGTTCTATAGCAGGGTGGGGCAATTGTCAGCCCGCGAGCTTTTTTCAAATTATATCATACAATTTTAAAATGTATTGTCTATATTATATATGTTAGTATTGTATGTAACATAATGGCTATTAGTTATTATTATTTAAAAGATTCAGCAACTAAATTTATTTAAATTTTATTTATATTATTTATTTACTGTCTCAACTAAAAAACTAGTTATTTTATATTCATATAAGGCAACCAAAAGACTGATTGGCTTATTATTTTAATATTTAAAAAAAAAGCATTTATTTTGTTGTGTTAATTATGTTAAAAATAAATATATATATATAATTTGTATTGAAATATTGTTGTATTTTTTAAAACTTCAAAAACTGTTTCAAATAACAATCAAACAGAATGAATAACAAAACATATTAAATTTATATGTATGTTTCTATTTACCCATACATGAGTTTGTATAGAAACAGCATACTTAAAAATAAATATAAATTACATTTTGAAATTTAAGACTTTTCATTTTTAATGATTATATTGTATATTCAAAGACCTAAATTTGAAGCCATTAATATACTGTTTTGTTATTTCCATTTCAAATATATAAGCTTTTAAAGTTGAAAAGTCTTTCTATTCACCCTGTTTTACGGTACTCTATCTTATCGATGTAATAATTGTTACCAGGTGTTAAACTTTGTTAAATATCTAAATGTCATATGTATACGTATAACTTTCAAACATAGCGAACTATTCAACTATATCAGTTTCTTTGTACCATTATTATCGTACAGTCGTGCGTGTTGAATTTATTATTTCGGTGTATATAAATGCTAATTAAAATTCATTATTTTGAATGACCTTCATTTTTTTCCTGTGCTTTGGCCCGCTAGATTTTAATTTTCTAAAAATCGGCCCTCTAATGACTTTGAGTTGCCCATCCCTGATCTATAAGAGCGCATAAAGGACCGTTTCCTGGGCTTAACACTACCGTGTCATCGTTATCGTGCGTGCTTGGAAGATGGCGTAGCCGTCTGCGCGAGAGAATTATTCCGTCGCATGGGCGTAATCGTACGGAATACAAAACGACTAGGGAAAGGTTTGATCGAATAATACGTGGGTTAAATAAAAACGTGGCGTACGTAATGAGATAACCGTTCGTTCATTGAGTAATGTTTATTCAATTTTTTTCCCTCGTATTTTCTCGTTTCGCCGTATTTTTTACAGTACCGCTTTGTTCGTCTCGAAGTCGATTGCGATGCACATACAATTTCACGCAGAACGCAAGCCGACCTCGGTCTAAAGGTTAGGAAACGAGGATACCGGAGTAGTGTTGTCGGTTCGGCAAACGTTTGACGGGTACGCGAAATTTGACCGTCGTCCCTGCGACACTTCCGGTCCGGGTCGTCGGTTGTTTCCGAGACGGAACGGCTACCGGCAAGTGGTACGCATATCGTACGTAGGTATCCGCTTTGGCGTGCAACTGGCACGGATCAACTCGAATCGAAGCGCAATGATCAACCCTGGAGGAGAATCGGTCGCAGGGCTGTTCAGAGGGGGTGGGCAACGAGATAATTTTGCCCCAGGTCCTTTTGTTGGAATATTTTTTGAGGATCCCCATAAAATCTTGATGTATAATAATTAACAATAAAGCGTGTCGGCTATCAAAGTCGCGCGCGTTTAAGCATGCAGCGACTTTTCCGATTACGTCGCGCGATTAAATTATAAATAATATGAACAATATTCGATTCTATTATATAAGTGTGTAATGCAGTACATGGATTTAAATGAGCTTGATTTGTTACGGTTTGGATAGATACGTTTGCAAAAATTTCATTATTCTCAGTGAGTATTTTATTCATCATAACTTATTATTATAGTCGAAGGGCTCCCAAATTAATTTGCCCCTAGCCCCGAAAAACCTTGGGATGGTCCTGGTTGGTCGATCGATCACGGTTAATCTCTACACCAGGCGAGACCGTACAGAACGACGCCAACCGGCAGGGCTTAAAGTTGGGGGAGGAACCAGTGACGTATTTAGGGGAGGCTAGAGGGTGCGATCGCCCCGGGTGGAATTTTTTTAGGAGCGGCATCAGATTTTTACATAACCTATTTTATGTTGATGAACAATAATATAAATTGGTTAATTTTTTTTTTTTTAATTTGAGATAATATTCTAAGATTGGAAATATTCATGGGAGGGGGGGACAAAAATTGTCGACGAAAAACCTTTTTTAAAACATAAATAAGGGGGCAGAAAAACGTTAGCACCCGGGCGTCAAATTTCTGAATACGTCTCTGGGAGGAACTGAACTCTATTTCCCTACCCGTTACAGCGCTTATAAAACATCTTTAATATTTCTCCGAAGAGCTTACGATCGCTCGACCGTTTGTTAGAAATAATAATACGCAACAAGACAGTTGAAAAATTAGCTTTGTGATTCACTTGATGCCACTATAGGTGTAGATAAGTGTTCTAGAAAAAAACCAACTCGTATTGAACATGCATTATAAATTATATATTTATAAATAAACGTTTTTTAATATTTTTTTTTTAGTATTTTATACCTATTTACAGTTAATTACCTAGTTATTACATGGGAATATATGGAACGCTGAGAATGATTTGCGGGTTAGAGTCTCACCCAGTCTTTTTTTGCCACTTTAATCATTGCCGACCGGTCGATCTTTTTAGAAACATATTTTTCCAGGTAGAACGTCGTACGGACATTTGTACCTCCGGTCAGGTTCGTTCGAAACGTCCGTCTAACCGTTTTGGTTAAACGTAACATACAACGGAATCGCGCTTACGAATAATATAATACGATGTGTAGTATTTTTTTCCATCAGTCTTCTTAATTTTTCACAATAATTATTTTCTATCGTTTTTACGAACTGGAACGGGCGGCAAATGGTCAATGGATTAGGACGGTCAACCCTCGTTAACTTCGGTGGACGCGATAGTAAAAATAATTATAAAAACAATGGAGGTAACAAGCGGACGAGAGAAATTTAATTTTTTAACGATTAGGTCTTTTTTTTTCTTTCTTTTTCCTCGTCGCGATGGAAAACAAGAATCTGGTACGGTCGACTGTTTTGCTACTGTTTTGCGAGCGACTGATGCACCGTTTACGGTAAATTTTCGATCCGGATAATAAACGAATATCGTGCGCATGGTACGCGTCGAGTCGATTTCGAACTTTACAGACTCGCTGCCGAACATAATGTATAATAATATGCGTATTCTCGTATGCACCACTTTGAATATATTACATCGTATACAGCTTGGTGCACATGTCCCAAGCGGGTTCTCCGCGGTTTATAATAACAGTAATGGTATTCCCCCTGTATTATTTCGCACGCATTCAACTACTCTGGCCAGACGCAATGCAGTAACGGTGTAGACGACATCCACGGTGTCGGGGACCTTGCGGGCCGTCGTAAAAGTGATCTCCGCGTATACGCTTTGCGTCAGGCGCGTGCACATGAAATGATGATTTAAAAGTTCTAGTTTGTTTAGCTCTTTTTGGAAAACCTCGGTAAATAGTTTTGGTTAGGCAAAAAGTCTTGGATATGTAACGCAACGTTCGTTGTGCATATCGATTTCTGATTAATTAAAAATATTAAGTTTAGTTTCAAAATAAAATTTTACGTTTTGACAAAATTGTAAAAATCGTGTTAAGTCGGAATAAAAAATTAAAAAAATTAATAAGATTTTCATTTTTCATACCTACTTAGAATTTGAAAATAATGATACAAGATTTTTGATAAAGTTTTAATGGTAGTTGAAACAAAAAAAAAAAAAAATTAAATATTATTGGAATGTTTTGACGAAATTAGATATTTCAACGAATTTCCCGTTGAACGATATTAATTATTTACTTAAAGACGCATCATAGTTTCGAAATAATTAAATGAAGTTTGTGCTATTTACAGGCTCCAGAAATGTTCTCAAATTTCAGGTAACATTTTGTTGTAAAACTAGAACGTTAAAAGTTCGTTCTACCTTGTAAAGAAATTTGTTCCTTTAAAACCTTAATTGACCCACCTGACCTTTTGAACTAGGAATTTTTTTTCAAGATTAATGATACATTGAACACAAATTTAAAATAATGTAATACCAAAACAGAAATAGTGTTTAAATATAAATAAATGAACAAACGGTTTATAAAGGTTACGGGCAATATGGAATACCAAACAATGAACACATTGCCCGAGAAATTTAAACCGCGAATATAAATAAATAATTACCAAGAACAAAGTATCTTGAAAATCACGAAAACTTGACTGCTTAATCGTAAATATCGATTATTGTCCGTAAATTGTTGTTCGATTGTATCGGCTTAGTTGTTAATTTTATCAATGAGAAAATAATAAATATAACATAGAATAATATAGTCAGTAAGAAATATTATACTGATATCTTAACCTGTAGCCCGTTTTGAATTGGAGTCCTGTGAAGTATTTTGAAGTTTGTTTTTTTTTTTTTATATATATATATATATATATATATATATTTAATAGTCTTTACTCTTTTTACTTTTATTCAGTAACTGTTAGGTATTATTTGTTTTTAGTTTTCTGTAATTAATAACAATAAATTGTATAATGTAAATGCACATAAGTTATAGGGGGACTTGTGATTTTAATCGTATACCAATGTTTGTAATACAAGTTGAATTAAGTTTTTCAGTGCCTACAAATTCACAAACAGACGTACACCAGAAAGAAATTATGCTACCAACATTCAAACGTAACCTAACCGCCTTACACGGGATCCGGTTTTGTGGCCGAGGCCTTATCGCCCGCGCACCTTCTATTAACGCGAGGTGTTACTCAAGAGACGCGGTCGAAACGAACCCCAAGGCGTAATCAAGGAGCCCGGGTCGTCATATGGACCACCAGCACCGAGCTTGCGCTCGTACCCTTTCAAGCCGCGGACGTGAGAACCGTGTTGGGACCCGCGGTTTTCACTGGGTGTTGTGGTTTTGTTACTATCTCGCGCTGTGCCACTGCCACCACGTTTCAGCCGAGGTAGGCTCCTCAACCTTGGGGGCACCGGATCCGGAGTGGCTAGGCCAGTCCGGCGTGCGGTGGGGCTACCCCTCCCGTGGTACCGACTAGGTTTTTAGTTGACATCGGTTGGTCAACCCGGGGTTTTTGGCCCCTGCCACTATTCTTGCTTCTCGAACCGGCTAGTGGTGGGCCTTCTAACCGCCTTACAGTACGAGTTCTTCCATCGATTTCTTGTGGTGCTCGGGTGTACAAACATTGCGCACGGTTTCGGGGACCCGACGAAACATTACCGGAGTCAGATCGTCAACAATTTCTTCGGCGATTTGGACGCCTTCAGTAGAGGCAGCCATCCGAATTGCGTACCAAAAGAAATGACCACTTTTAGTCAACAACCGAATTGCGGTAACAGTTTTTTTTTTTTTTGTGACAGGGTGAAGTCGCGTGCGAGTATTTTTCGGGACAGGCCCGAATCGCGGGCGTAAACTTTGAGCAGACGACCGGTTTTCGTGCACCTGCACGGCTGCAGGTTTTATTTATTATATGTACGATAATTGTTTTCAACTTTTTGACTGATATACCTGTGTATTATTATTTTCAAATTGGTTTTAAGTATGATTTTTTCGCACTCCCCGCACGCAATTCGACCTAAGTAATGATTTTCACACTCAACTCGAAAACACCGATGTAACTAACCATGAGCATCCGATTACACGGGCTTGTTTCGCAGACGGGATTTTCGAGAAGGGATTCTCGGCCGAATGCAACGAGTAATAATAACGCGGTGAAACGTTCCGCTGTCCGAGGTTCGCTTGCGGGAAACGAGTGTCAAAACTTTTCAAATCAAGAGGTCTGTATTGTGCGCCACGGCGCATTGAACTCCGAGATTAACTTATACTCGCTCCCAACGTCACCCTCGAGCACATAACTTATTTATAACTGATAATGTTATTATTATTAGTAGTGGTAGTAGTATTATATGAATACATTACGCCCAGTTGCGTGAACTGGGAGTCGTATGAGTTCGTAGGAGTGTTTTTTCACGACCCCAAAACATCATGCGTTCATCGGTTTTCGAAAAATAGAAATGTATTTAATTTAAAATTTGTATAAATATGCCCGACTGCAATATCAATAATTTAATGATTGTCATTTGTTCTTAAGAAATACCGCACTCTGTTCTTTGCGGACGATTTAAAAATATTTATCCGTATTTCTTCGCTGGATGATTGTCAAGTCCTTCGAGATGAACTAAATATTCTGTCTAATTGGTGTCAGGATTGGGGTATGTGGCTGAATAAAAATGAACTGATAAGCGTTGTTTAATGCGTTTTTTTCAGACCCAATGAGCGTATCATTTTTATGTACTCTATAAATTATGTTCAACTTAATTCAGTTTCTTCGATTATACATCTAGGAATAACTTAAACCAATTATTTAAATATGTGTAAACACATTGAATATTTTGTGAAAAAATCTTTGAAAGTTTTAGGATTTATTAAACACAATTCGTCTAAATTCAAATGCCTTAGATCGTTTCATTGTATTTTGTGTTATTAGGTCTATTTTAGAATACGGATCTCCCGTCCGAAATCCGTACTCTCAGGACCACATTTAAGGGAAGAGACTATGGTCACAATCGTCCCGAGCACCAAATTTTTAAGATGGTCGAAAATGTGTTCACTGAAATATTTCTGTATATATTATGAATAGTTAACACTTAAATTTGAAATTGGTTTACGATATTATTATTATAATAACATAACCAATGAATTATCAAAATATGTAAAACGACAACAAAACGAAACAACTTCTTTGGTGAATAATGGGTATAGTGTAATTAAATAAATATACATACATGTATTAGTATAAGCAAGACATGTGAGGCCTACGCTATTGAGGATGTGACGATCAGACCATTTCTGTCAATCGTCCACAACACAGCTCGATGTCATGCAGGACTCGTTCCGAGTGACGATAACACGTCCCGTAGTAACGGTGACGGTTCGTTATTCGCGTAGCTGTGCATACGTCACAGAGGACTGAACCACCCGATTTCCGAAAACTCACTCCGAAAGCACTCGAAAAATATGTTATTTATTAGTGCACGCTGTGGACGCGAGGGAATTGAATTTTTAAATTTATCGCCATTAATAATAATAATACTAACAACAAGAAGAATGGCGCTTTACGTGATACCATCATCCGAATGTTCGTGTGGTTTGTTACATTGCGTGCACGTGTGAGAGACACTCGGAGAGGGAGAGAGAATTTTGAAAAAGGCGAAACGTAGTACACAGCCCTTTGTATACGTTTCGTGGCCAAATAAGGGACGGCCGTTTTTCCCGCCTATCAGTTTTATTACAGTATAATTTATTATATATGCTATACAATTAATAATTTACTGCATTGTCGACAGTTTATTTTATTGTTTGTATAACAAACAAACACGAATATATTATATTTTCTTTAACTCAAATTTATGCCAACATTGCTAACGTACAACAATTATTGTTTCGTATACATTTCGCACATGTATTTATATACATAAGTATGTATTTTATGTATATTTATACATATATTTACCGAGTTTCCGTGTAAAACGAATATTATCTTATCAAACACGAGATGACTGTGATAACAATATCATCATGTTGGGTAATATCAACTAAAATTAAATTATTATTCTTTTTCTAGTCTTTGATTTAATAATTGGCTTGCAACAATGTTCTTGATTCTATGCCGTTGGTCTTCTTCTTTTATTGTTGGTATAAATTACGTTTCTTGATCTACCATAATCTATCAGGAATTATGAGAATTATTATAATTATGAGTAGTTCATTAGAATTATCCTCATCAACTTTTACTGCAAGTGTACCATTTATTTGATAACCAGTATATTGATGATAACCTGAATATATAATAATGATTGAACAAAACATTTTAACACGTATTAGTTTATCAAACGTTAGTTAATTGTTAGATAACAATTAAATAGTAGAAAATATAATTTACTGACCAAAATTGATAAATTTGGTGTGACCAGTTACTATTGAGAGTAAAAATAACGTTAAACAAAAAAAACCACCTTTATAAATAAATTCTTTATAAAAATAATTCCAGAACCATGTTTATTCAATCGAAATAAAAATAATCAAAACAGAATTATTAAAATTAATTTTATGGTACTTATTTTGTAGTAGTATTTTTTAGTGCTCGCCATTACACGTGTAATGAATTACACGGGTACACGTGTTATTATCTGAAACGGGATTAAGGTCCGTGTAAATAAAATACACGTGTATTTTATTACACGCCGCATTACCTGTGTAGCTAAATACCCGACATTACCCATGTATTTTATTCTCCACGTTTTTGTATTGTAATAATTGAGATTTCTCTATTATTAAATATTAAATTTCTTTATAGCAATTGTATTATGAATTTTATTATTATTTATTAATGTACGTTATGTATTACTTTTAAATGTCTACCGAATGATCCTGTTGATCCTCCAGCACTACTAAACTCTTCATTTGAATTATCATCACATAAATTACAAATAGCCCTATTACCTTGACGTTTACCATATTGCCACACCCAACTTTTTGGTTGATAACTCATCTTTCAAACCAAAATATTAAAACTGCAATGCGTTGCGTAAAACAGTGGACGTCACAGACGCACAATATAAAATATTCTTCAAATTGACAAAATAATTATATAAGTTATCAAAGCCGTGAAGATGGCAATAAAACAACTTTGGGTTTGTTTGTTTAAAATTAAAACCAGTTTGAAATTATCGTATATAAAATAATATTACAAATAACGATAACGTAGAATTTTAATGAATTACATAATTTGAACCTAAGTCATAACATTCATAACATTTATATATTATATTTCTAAATAATAAAAGATATAAGATTTTGAAATTATTATATACTTAACCTAACCTTAACCTAACCGCGGATGCAACTCGGACAAAATATAATTTAGGGACGCAATTCGTATGCGCCAGAGCGATGGCATTTATAGAATATATTTTATATAAATTATGATAGAATAAGTCAAAATATTAAGTAATTCTTAATTAATTAAGTAATAATTCTTAATTATTAAGTAATATTAAGTAATATTAAATAATTAAGTAGGTGTAATAAAGTATTCAAGTTAAAATCATTTTTATAAGAGTGAAATATCCACTTAGTTTAAAAAAAATTGCCAATTTCTGTGAAAGCCAAACAAGATTCATACCAATATTTGAATAATTATATACCTTGAAATATACCTTTAATTACCCTGCATTAATAACTAAACGGGTGTCTGATATTTACTTATCGGGTAATACGAGATGGTATAATTACACGGGTAACGGGTATTAAATACACGTGTATCAGTAAGAAATACCCGTGTATTGAAAACACGGATATTAATAGATTTATTATACGTGTACACGTAACGCGGATACACGTGTACTCTAATAACCGTGTACGACTACGACCCCTAGTATTTTTTGAAGGAACAAAACAATAATCATACACAAATACACATATATAATATGATCCTACAGCGTGTGTATATTCGAACAGGAACTATAATATCGTACATTTTTAAATTCATTTTCAAAAGCCGGTCATAGACCGTGCGACCTAACTTTTTGAAAAGCAATTCGGGTAGTCACCGAATCAGACGAAAGTATTAGTTAAACATTCGAGTGTCGACGAATGAGAAATGTTATGGTTCATAAAATTTGAATTATTGTGAAAACCATAAGGCCATGTAAGCATATAATATTGTATTATACATGCTGATTATTGTTTAGTATTTTTCGATTTAAACTTTCGGTAAATACCTTTATTTATAAATAGATACATTTTATTTTATTTTATTCTCGATTAGAACAGACATAAATAAATAAATATAATCTCGTAACTGTTTGATTAAAACGCGTTTCTGAATTTTGTATTGTACATGGTGAAGGGAAAGATAAACTCAACACAACGCGAACGAGTGATCACGTACGACACTTATCGTTTATGGAAATTGAGACTTGAAGTGTACAAATTTCCGAAATGAAACAAACCGTTAATGTGGTTGATTTTCTGTGCGTCATATACGGCACATGTATAAAACATATAGAACAAATATAAGTCCGACAACTGATGATTGATTGCGACATGACAAAAAGTTCAATATACCAAATGGCTCGTAGATATGGTACATTTATAGGACTTTGACGCGCATCTTCGTGAAACGTCTCGAAATACAAAACGTTTTATACAGCCGCAAATATAGAAAATGAACGAGGTGTGGTAGAAATTCGTAGAATGCCTTGCAGTTAAGATATGGCGTAGAGCTATTGTCACATATTATTATACTACGGAAAAATCGTGTGGGAATAGGGTTAAGAACGATAAAGGGTAAAATTTTTAAATGTATATATACATATACGAATGTATGGTATACATCAGGGGTGACCAACAGGTCGAATCCGCGATTCCCTTTCAATTCTTATTTTACTTTTTTTACATTTTTTTATATTTTAGTTCAACCGGTGAATATAAAAATCAAATTAATAAAGCAATATATGTTAATTAATAACCATAAAAAATGAAATTGTACCCCGTGGTCGAGTAGTAGTAGGTATATATAATGGATACTCCGTATTAATTATCGATATTATTCATCGCGTTCGTATCAATCGATGAAAAATATACTAAAACACATGCTACGTACAATTTTAAAATTCATTGTTAGTCATTACTTATTAATATTTAATAAACGAAAGAAATAAAGAAAATGCATACGCATGCACGCAAGTGAAACGTATATTCGCTCAGCGACAACCTTTTTTTTTCTTCCGGTAGATCGTGACGGCCTAGAATAACTCGGAAGTCTAGAAAATTTGGTCACTCCTGGCCCGTATATAAACAGGTGTACGTCAAACCATCGTCAGGACCCCACGATACTTCCAATAGATTTAGAGGGTGTGTGCGTGCGCGTGACGTGTATAGGTATAATAAAATAAAATTATAAATTGAATCGTTCAGTAAACGTTATTTGTTCCCGGCCGAGTGATATTGCATGTCGCCGAGATGACACTGATGTTTTATCACGCCAACAATATAAATGAGATTGCCGTAAAGCGTGAATGAAAAAAAAAATGAATACACGCATGTATACGTACCTATTCCCACAATTGATTTCAGGTGAATATTTCTGTCAGCCTTTCGATTTGCATAAAAACCGCCACCGCGACCACATCACATCGCTATCTCGCGATACTGATTGTTGCCGTACACGAGGGGATTTCGAATTCGATTACGAAACAAAACAAAACAAAAAAAGTATACATAATATTATATTTATACTATCGGATTTGTCTCATCGTCCTGCGTGTGTCTATAAATATCCATGCAAACGTAATAAATCACGAACACATGCGCACGTAAACAAGGTAAACAACGCGTGCATGTGTGTCTACGACTATGCGTTGGTTTTTCTCGAATTTCCCGGTTACATAGGTTGTATAAATTCTTATACTGTTGTTCGTTCCAAAATATTATACGTGTCCGAAGATAACGACGATATTCACTCACGAGCAGTGGTGTATTGGTAAATATGAATACAAACATAAATACCTATATATATATATGCGCAATAAAAAAATATGGATATTAACCTAAAAAAATGCTATCGATACGATCGACAATTGTTTTTCTCGCTACGTTCGAATAAACTAAATTTTAATCCTTTACGAATGTTTATAACTTCAAATGAGACTGAAAAATATAACACTACAACATATACGTTTGCCGTGCGTTATAAATCGCATAATGCACATTTAAGAACCACAGGCTGAATTTTCGTACTCCATACCATTTCATTCAATATTATAAACGGACGTAGTAAGTAACCACCGCAACCATAATCACCGGAAGGTAGGTAATGATCACGGTAGAAGCTCGTGCGTTTACCAACGCCGTTACTCGTCAACATTTAGTTAGTGCCGAAGTTTTCGAAATATTATTCATACACCCTAAGGTGGACTCAGGAGTTTGTACGCCCGGGGAAAACGTTAAAATTATGCCCTACAGTAGACCAATAATCAAGTATTCTTGTCGAGAATTTTTTTCTAATAATAAACGTACAACCATACTTGTTGACTTTTAACAAAATTAAGTTTAACAAAGTTAAAAATATCAAGTAGTTGTTAATAATTACAAAAATTACTCCTTCTACAATTTTACGGCCGGGGATGAATCCCCGTGTTCTCTCCTCTAGTTCCACTCCTGTATACGTATGTAGTACGTGCACATAAACACGCTCGATGGGCAGCGAATAAACGTAACGACATAAAACGCCCGTAAACCGTTGTTTCCGAGACGTTCCCGGTAAACTTCTGCGTTTCTGACGATTTCGTTCGCCCATAAATATTCATCCCCGCGCGTCCAATGAATAATTTATTACTTTTGAACGTTCTACGACGTAGTAACAGTAACCTATTGTGAATGTCCGCTGTGCAGAAGTAAAACGAGTGGTACGAAGATGGGACACGCGCAGTGGACATTTTCGCACGCCTTTGCACAGTGGCAAATGGTCCTCTAAAACGTAATCGAACGAGCAATGTTGATTCATGAACTCGACTTTATGATTTTGTATGTGTACATTTGAACGATCGGAAACTTATATTTTTTCGCGCGACACTGTAAAACAAGGGAAAAAAATACAACGGTCAGACTTATGAAATAACAATATTTATTTTTATCGTATAGTTGTCATTCTACTTGAAATGACGTCATTCAGCTTTTCGAAAACAGTATTACATAATGACTACAACTCGAAATACCGTTCAAACGTAAAAAAGCTATATCGATATATCGAATATCAAAAGGACCACAAAATTAAAAATAATTGAAAAAGGAACGTTGTGAATTTTGTGGAAACAGTTAGGTGATCAGTTCGCTTGTTTCCGGCTATACCGACATGACTGAGGGAACCCATGAAAATTGACAATTTTATCGTTGAGGCTGATAGGAAAAATTAGGTTAATGTGTATGACACACAATTTTTTTTTCAAATGCAAGTGTTTGCACTGCCGGAACTAGATCGTTTCGGTTTCGGTTTTGGTCCCGGGTAATTGAACAATAATTGCCGTATGACGTGCGACCAACCCCTAAACCGGTCGGTTCATCTCCGTTAGTCGTACGGATTGACAGCGAGACCGGCGGCGGCCGCGGCTCGCTGGTACGGAAGAAATGGCGATAACATCGACCAACGACAAACGCACGTACACGGGCGGAGGCGGATCGATGTTGGCGACGTCGGATATCTTCCGGTCACTGGCGACCACGATACTGGTTCGCGGACCGGGCACCGGGCAGTGGTGGCGGTTGGGCAAACGGCCATGGTCAGCGGTGTGGGTAGCGAATCGGCCGCGGTGGCAAAGCACTGGTGGTCATCGTCAGTGTCTTCTTCGACGAGGAAATCAAAAAAATCTCCGTCGTCATTCACGGGAGTCGGACAGTGGTGGGGTGGCCGCGTCATCACGTTTTAGGTGGTCATGAACGGTGAGGCACGAACGGTATACTTCCGCGGCGGAAATGTGCGAACGGTGGTCGAGATCGGAGTGTTGCAAGGGGTGCAGCGGGTCGGCGGCGGCGGCCAGGTGCGAATGGCCGTCGGAAGAGTGCGTTAGGTCGTGGCCGTACAGCAACGGCACGGCGATCCCTGGATGGTGGTCGTTGGCCGCGTCCAAAGGGTTCGCGAACATCCGCACGGCGTCGTCCGAAAAACCCTGATAAACAAAACATATCATAAAATGATTATTTTAACTCTACAATTTAGTTTTATCGTCCGATTAAATACAAACAATTGTAAACAAAATATTTATAAGAAAGTTTTTTAAGTTCTTGTACGTCTCTAATACCCCGATTTATCTTGGGCGAGTTTACTCACTGCTCATCAGCTATTAAAATTGTATGCGGTTGAACGATAGACTTGTCCGATAACTCTCCGGCTAAGAAATAAGTTTGCTTGCTCGTGTATGTGACGTATCGGCAGGACCGTAGCAAGTGGATGGCGATAGGTGCCTACTGCAATTCCTAGGAAAACGCCAAAATATAAATCTTGCATTTATTGTTAATAATTACAATTGTAAATGTCGAATATTTTCTTTATGCGATGGTAAGTTAAAAACGTACACACCACGACGCGAAGAAAGAAAAATAAAAGACGAAAGAAAAAAAAGAAGAAGAATGAATTGAAAATGAAAAGTGGCGAGTCACCGATGTACGCCCTCATCGATGTTGTCGCGCACGATAATCGGTGATACTCAAGGCCGGACTTTGATAGGCGACGGTGGAGGGATCAGGATGGACCGATATCAAGCCTCCTTGGACACGCGAATCATGTGGTACGAGTACTGGCAGTGCGAAGCATGTCCGGCTCGAACAATGACTCTCTACTAATTGGTGTTGATAAAGTCAAGAGATTATAAGAATCTATATAATCTAAGAAGACCCTACGATGCGATTGGCCAATGGGATTTCCATTCATCACAGCTAAAGAAATTAGACGTTACTAACTAATACGTACGACGTGCGACCAACCCCTAAACCGGCCGGTTAATATCCTCCGTTAGTCGTACGGACCGACAGCGATACCGGCGGCGGCCGCGGCTCGCTGGTAGTGAAGAGACGGCGAACGGGTAGGCGACAACACCGGCCGATGACAAACGCACGTGCACGGGCGGCGGCGGCGGATCGGTGTTGGCGACGTCGGATACCTTCCGGTCACCGGCGACCGCGGTACTGGTTCGCGGACCGGGCACCGGGCAGTGGTGGCGGTAGGGTAAACGGTCGTGATCAGCGGTGTGGGTGGAGAATCGGCCGCAGTGGTAACGCGCCGGCGAACGTCGTCGTCCTCATCGTCGGTGTCTTCTTCGACGAGAAAATCAAGAAAATCTTCTCCGTCGTCGTTCACGGGAGGCGGACAGTGGTGCGGTGGTCGCGTCGTCGGGCTTTCGGTGGTCGTGAACGGTGAGACACGAACGGTATACTTCCAGGGCGGCAAGGTGCGAACGGTGGCCGTGGCCGGAGTGTCGCATGCGGTGCAGCGGGTCGGCAGCGGCGGCCAGGTGCGAGTGGCCGTCGGAAGAGTGCGTTGAGTCGTGGCCGTACGACAACGGCACGGCGGCCCCTGGGTGGTGGTCGTTGGCTGCGACCAACGGGTTCGCGAACATCCACACGGCGTCGTCCGGCTCCGAACGATCCGGTCGTCCGTGTACCCGCCGTCGGTTCCCGTCGATCCTGTGGACCCACACGTACGGAAAACGTCAAGAAAATTCCGGGCGGGTTTCGTTTATTTGGCGATTGTCGTTTTGGATAAAATTATTGAAAATGTTATGTAAAATATTTCGTACCACCGATCGACGTTCCCAGCCAGTCTTGCTTCACGTAAATTTGGATCCGTGACATAGCCAACGGACGTACGGCCATCGGCGTGGCCTTACCGCGTCCAACGACCGATGCTAAATAATCCGATGGCGTCCTGTAACTGGTCGGGATTATGCGCTGGATGCCGGCGTTCGTCAAAGTCCACCGGCATGCTACCAAGATCAAAACAAAAAACTGGATGAATGTGATCATTTTAAATCAACGAAAAATGCGTTTCACTTGCTACACGGAGAGTACAAAAGAGATGGTTCTCGAAAAATAACATATGACGATAAATAAACAATTAACCGATTACGTTTGTAACTGGGTTTTTTTTTATATATCCAACAACTTAATTATTTAATTAGAACGAAGTAAACGGTAATTTTTATTAGTTCAACAATTGAAATCAACACACTAAATTAGATTTTTTTTTTTATTTATACCTTGCAATTATACGTATTTCAATATACCAAACATAAATATATAGTAAAAAAAAAAAAACACTGATAAACAAAACATATCATAAAAAGATCATTTTAACTCTACAATTTAGTTTCATCGTCCGATTAATTACTTACAAACGTCCATTATAAACAAAATATTTATAAGAAAGTTTTTTAAGTTCCTGTTCGTCTCTAAAATTCCGATTTACCTTGGGCGAGTTTACTCACTGCTCATCAGCGATTAAAGTTGCATGCGTTTGAACGACCGACTTGTCTGATTACTCTCCGGCGCTAATAAATAAGCTCGCTTTCTCGTGCATGTGACGTATCGGCAGGACCGTAGCAAGTGGATGGCGATAGGTGCCTACTGCAATTCCTAGAAAAACGCCAAAATATAAATCTTGCATTTATTGTTAATAATTACAATTGTAAATGTCGAATATTTTCTTTATGCAATTGTAAGTTAAAAAACGTACACACCACGACGCGAAGAAAGAAAAAAAAGAAGAAGAATGAATTGAAAATGAAAAATGGCGAGTCACCGATGTACGCCCTCATCGATGTTGTCGCGCACGATAATCGGTGATACTCGAGGCCGGACTGTGATAGGCGGTGGTGGAGGGATCAGGATGGACCGATATCAAGCCTCCTTGGACACGCGAATCATGTGGTACGAGTACTGGCAGTGCGAAGCATGTCCGGCTCGATCAATGACACTCTACTAATTGGTGTTGATATAGTCAAGAGATTATAAGAATCTATATAATCTAAGAAGACCGTACGATGCGACGTCGTCGATCGATAAACCGTTTCCTGGGAACAAAAAATGTATATAATTTAGCTGTAAATAGACGGGAACCGATATTTCATTTATTATTACCTAATATTACAAATGTAAATACATTTTAAATCTAATGAATCAAAAAAGTATTCAATAAATTAATGCGGTATTCAAAAGTAAAATAAAGTACTTAACATAACGTTCAATTCCTTCTAAAATAAAATTATTGAAAAAAAAAACATGTCCACGATACGATATAATACGCCGTGTTTGGAGAGAACGCGTTTCATTTTACATGAACGATGATGAACGATTGCGCCTTGGGCGCGATGTTTGAATGATAGTTTTTAAAATCACAGATTCAAATAATTTTTTTGTCCGAGAATATTTTTGCCATCCCAAAATGTTCTAAATATTTACGTATCTACGTTGTACGCGTAGGGACGAGTACCCAAACACACCCGCCTAGGCCGTTCGGGAATTTTGTGTCTAACGCTCAAGTCAGGTGAGGTTAGTTGTACCGATAATACCCACTCGAGCCTTCGAGTTATCGCTTTCACCCCTGCTGTGTCCTCGCTGCGGTCGCTGAAGCCCTTCAGCACAGCAACTCCCCCCCTCTCCGCGCAGAAATCACATATGAACCAATCCGTCCGAGCGCAACAATAACGTCAAATAATTAAATGATAAAAATTTTATTAAAATTGAAAACTATCAAACGTTTAATATTGATATACAAATCAAATAAACATTTAGTCTATGTATAGAAATAAATTAAGAAAAGCTTAGCCTAGAGTATTATTATATTTGTAAAGTACGACTTGTTTCGAGGAGTTAAAAATTCATCGCCAGGCATACTAAGTTAATAAGATAACGATTGAATGTGAAAAAAATAAATAATTGCGATTTTATTTATTCGTATCCAGTCACAATTTCATTTTTTTCATATTCAGTAGCGATTTTATCGACTTAGTCGATGCGCCGACAATGAATTTTTAATTAGAAATTCGTCATGCTCCGCAAATACTCCAGGCTAAGCTTTTATTTATTTGTTTGTTTAGTTCTGTACGTAAACTATTTGTTTATTTGTATACTAACGATGTCAAATGTTGCTAACGAAATGGACCGGTGACGAAGCGACGAGACGTGTGGCAATCGGTCTCCTGGTGGAGAGGAGTAACCGCACCGACGGGACCCTTATCGAAGCACGACTGGGAGGCGCACGCTGGCCATAACTTCTAAGCGGATAATTATCTTTATTTTCTTTCGGTCCCTCAGCGAAACACTCGCACGTACACGTATCAATTACGTGGGTTTCACGGTTGATGGCGTTTCGCTCCACGTCGAGAACGAATGGGGAGTGAACGTCCGATTCCGGCGACGGCTGCAACTTCCTGGGCGCTATCCCTCAACATTTCTTCACTGCTTTTTGTTCCTCCTTCGGCCGAGTAACTTTTCTTGGAACACCGATTTCGATGTCTTCCGCAAGTGTACACATGTCAACGGACGACGACGATGATTTTTTTCATCCTTGCGATCAGTGTCCGCTTTATAAAATGTTCACTGTACATGATTTATAGATACTTTTTTTTTTTTAAGTTTCCTCGTTACACGATCACTTGGCTATATCTTCGATTACTCTTTTAAAGAGCGTATAAACCAATGGTGTAGCAAAAGCCTTGCCGAACTGTGCCTACGTCAAGGGCGCGAATTTCGAAAAGCGCAAAATCATGCAAAATTCATACTTTTATTTTATTTTCCAAATGAAAATTTTCTATTATAATTTTTGAAATATATAGATTTTGTCTAATTGTGCAATTAATGATGAAATTATTAAAATTAGGGAATTTATGTAATAATTATCACAGAAAGAAATTATCAATTAATTCGCCAGTCTTAAAGCGAGAATAGCAATTTTCAAAGTTTAAAATTTATACTGTAATAATAACTTGTAAATACAAAAAATAATTTTTATTATAAAAAATCTGTAATAATGTTACAGGTTAAAAAAAATATCATCATATAAAATTTTTAATTGGTTAAAAAGTGGTTTTTTTTCTAAAACCTTCTATGCCACTGGTATGAAGACCAAACACTCAATACGATATTTACCAAAATGATTAAATTAAGTAACGGACATATTGATCTACGATGAGCGTTTGATGCGAGGAAACAAAGAAAACGTTCGGCGAAAACTTTGATCAACTTATTTTAGTATTTCGTTAGAATTGTAATCACGTCATAACGTCTAGAATATCGAAATACTTGTTTTCAACATGTATCCATATATTGAACATGATTTATTGTTATAGTTTAATCAAAGTACTCATCGTATATGTCCATACATATATACTTATAAATTAATTGCAACGTGGCACCTATAATCTCTGGATGATACGAATTATTTTCCGTGTTTTTTTTTTTTTTTTTTAAGGTCATTACTCGATTTATACTAAGCATTTACAGGATTCTTCATTTCGCAGTGTAGTCGTCATAAATTTGACTGTCATGTCGAATGATTTGCCACCTGTGATAATAAAATATACTCGTGTATAACTAGTAAACACCTTGTGTTCATTTTTCCAAATAAAGATTTAACAGTTACATTCTCGAACGACATATTTCGTTTTAATGGTCATCATATTTTATTATTTACTATAAATCGATTCAATATCAATTTCGGACTTAAATGATTCATTCGAAAGCTGTTGATTGTACGTACGAATGCTTTAGAACAAAAACCATTCGTTTCAGTGAACACCAATTGTTTTCGATCTCATTGAAACTTTTATAAAGTTTAGTAAATATTTTAATATTGTTTTAATGCATTTAGTTTCGCGATTTAATTCGTATTTGATCATAGTTCATAGTCCTCTCGGTTGTTATACGACAGGTTTCAACCGATGAACTCGTATCGTCTTTATTGTATCGTCGATAGTTGGCGTTTCAAAAATAAGAAGTTTTAAATAATAAAATGAATCCAACCACCATATAACTGCTATACTATTATGAACGTTCTATTCAAGAAACTCCAGACCAGGCACCGGTGGACTCTATGCGGCTTTCCAAACTTTTTGCTGTGGGCCTTTCAAATATATTTCGTGGTGTTTAAGATTTGAATTTTATTGCAATAAATAAAATCGAATCACGACTGTTATATAAACATTAGAGATAAGTTATAAGCGAGAAAGTAATCTAATCGTATATTATGTGTGTATCACTGATTACTACAGATATTAAAATGTTTTATTGGAGTCTTTCTGAAATAGATTTTAAACGCAATAAAATTTTTGCAAAAAATAAAAATGATTACTGCTATCAGTAGCATTTATACTTGTGAGAAGACATTTTCATTACCAAAATTCCGAAAAATTAAATATTGTTCACGAACACTTGAATGCAGTTTTAAGAATATCAACAACCAATATGCAAATATTTCTATCTAGCATATAACGCGATTATAATGATTGTCTATTTTTATAGAAATTACTAAACGCTACATTATCTTATAAAAATAGAATATAAGAAATAACTTTGCATATGCAGATTTATAAGACAAGACAAAAAAAGAAGAAAACATTGTATTGTTTTAACACAGTTAACCATGACTGATACTATCCGAAGTATCCGCATTTTTCGTTAATCATAATTAGACATGAAATAACTTATATTAAAACATGTAGAAATGTTGACATGTAGTCTTGTAGAAATTGAAGCTTGCTTAGTGGAAATGAGACTATCCATTTATGATTTCAATGATAAAGAATAAAATTATTCAAGAGAGGTTATTGGAAGAAATAAGTAAATAAATGAATGTTGATGGTAGTTTAAATAATAAAATATATCAAAAATGACTAATATATAATTTTTAAATTTACATTCGTCTAAACGCATTTCGCATAATAAAGATAAAATTCCATGACGAGAGCTGTGTTTTTAATAAACAGATGAATTAATGATCTTTATTTTTTTCTAGATTTTTAATGTGCACCACTTTCTAATAGCCCGACACCTTAATCGGATGACAGCTTGACAACTGATTTTTGTTTTGTTTAGGAAGTATGCACTTTATAAATAAAATTGCTTTTAGTTTACTAACACAGTTTTG